TGCTGAGGGTCCTCACTTCATTCAATCTCCACACTATAGATGCCCATCTTATGTAACCTATGCCCTCTAGATTCCCAACTCATTCAACCACTTTGAGCCTCCTTGTGGAGAGAAAAAGCAGGGTATAAATCATCATCATCATCATCATCATCATCATCATCTACATGTTTTAGGTCCCCCTCTCATTCAACCTGAATTCTGCAGAGGAAGTAGACTTATACTATACATAATCTATTGCTGATGTGGGCCTTCAAGTTGTTTGCAACTTATGGCAAACCTAACACAGATTTTCCTGGCAAGTGGAGGTTTGCCACTGACTTCTTCTGAGGCTGAGAAAGTGTGACTTGCCCAAGGTCATCCAATAGGAGCCCCCGGTAGTGCAATGGGTTAAACCCTTGTGCCGGCAGGACTGCTGACCGACAGGCAAGCGGTTCAAATCTGGGGAGAGTGGGTTTAGCTCCCTCTGTCAGCTCCAGCTCCCCATGCAGGAACACAAGAGGAGCCACCCATAAGGATGGTAAAACATCAGACATCCAGGCATCCCCTGGGCAACATCCTTGCAGATGGCCAATTCTCTCACACCAGGAGCGACTTACAGTTTCTCCTGACACACGGGGGAAAAATCCAATAGGTTTCTATAGTTCAGTAGAGATTCAAACTCTGGTCTCTCATATGCTATATGTACTATATGTTGGTTCCTTACACATAACCATGGGCCCTCCCACACAGACATATAACCCAGAATATCAAATCAGAAAATCCCACAATATCTGCTTTGAACTGGGTTATCTGAGTCCTCACTGCCATATAATCCATTTCAAAACAGAAAATGTGGGATTGTATTTAGCTGTGTGGAAGGGGCCCATAAGATCTAAATAGACAATAATGCCTCAGCAGGACAGTTCACATAACTTATTACAACCTACTTTTTAATTAAAATGTGGAGATCTTGGGGCTTTGAAGTTTCAAAGGCATTGCCATCCAGGCCACAGCATCTTGTTGGGTCCAGATGCAAACATCAGCAAAAAGGGATTTGGCACCACAAAGTAGATACAACACAGTACTTGGGAAAACAGCATTTTCAAGGTTCTTTAAGTGGAACCATGGCTCAGCAGTAAAGCACATGATTCTCATGTAAAATTTATAGGCTGAAGTCTTATCTCCACATGTTTTGTGTAATGTGAACTATCTGCAGCTTGGCTTCCAGATATCAGTTGCTAGCCAGGCATGATCAGCAGTTTAGATCAGACATAAGACAGTACTACACTTGGTCAATACAAATGAAATGCACAGATATAGGGTGGGTGACATCTGGCTTCAAAACACTACTTGTGAAAGGGATCTAGAAGTCTTAGTTGACCACAAGCTGGACAATAGGGTGATGTGACAGCTAAAAAAGTCATTGTAATTCTAGGCTGCATCAATAGGAGTATGGTGTCTATAGATAAGTGCTTCTCAATCTGGAGGGGTTGCACAGGGGGTTTCAGAGGGGTCGCCAAAGATAATCAGAAAACACATATTAGGTGCCCCCTTAGCAGAGAAGTGCTCTCTGGAGGTAGGTGAACTACAACTCCACCTATCCTTCTCCTCCTTTTTGGTGTTGGTGAACTACAACTCCCAGAATTCAAAAACAGCCCCCAACCCTACCAGTATTCAATGCTGGCCATGTAGGTAGTGTGCCAAGTTTGATACAGATCCATTGATGGCTGGGTTCAGAGGGCTCTTTGATTGTAGGCGAACTATATATTCCAGTAACAAAAACTCCCAAATGTCAAGGTCTATTTTCCCCAAACTCCACCAGTGTTCACATTTGGGCATATTGAGTATTCATGCCAAGTTTGGTCCAGATCATTATTGTTTGAGTCCATAGTGCTCTCTGGAGGTAGGTGAACTACAACTCCCAAACTCAAGGTTAATGCCCACCAAACCCTTCCAGTATTTTCTCTTGGGCATGGGAGTTCTGTGTGCCAAGTTTGGTTAAATCCCATTGTTGACAGAGTTCAGAAGGCTCTTTGATTGTAGGTGAACTATAAATCCTACCAACTACAACTCCCAAATGACTAAATCAATCCCCGCTCCAACCCCACCAGTATTCTGATTTGGGCATATCGGGCATTTCTGCCAAATTTGGTCCAGTGAATGAAAATACATCCTGCATATCAGATATTTACATTACGATTCATAACAGTAGCAAAATTACAGTTGTGAAGTAGCAATGAAAATAATGTTATGGTTGGGGATCACCACAACATGAGGAACTGTATTAAGGGGTTGTGGCATTAGGAAAGTTGAGAACCACTGCTCTAGATGGAGGGAAGTCATAGTCCCACTCTATTCTGCTTTGGTCAGACCTCACCTAGAATAACCCTGTGTCCAGTTCTGGACAACACAATCAGAGAAGGATATGGACAAGATGGAATGTGTCCAGAGAAGGGCAACCAAAATAGTCAAAGGTCTGGAAAACAAGCCCTATGAGGAATAGCTTATTTCGAGAGCTGAGCATGTGTTACTTGGAGAAAAGAAGGTTAAGACGTAATAGCCATGTTTAAGTATCTGAAAGGATGTCGAATCAAGGAAGGGAACACTTGTTTTCTGCTGCTCTGAAGTCTAGGACATGGAGCAATGGATTCAAATTACAGGAAAAGAGATTCCACGTAAACATTAGGAAGCACTTCCTGGTGATAAGAGCTCTTCCGCAAGTGGAGTTTGCTGCCTGGGACTGTAGAGGAGCTCCTGCTGTGGAAGTTCTTAAGCAGAGGCTGGACTTCCATAAGTCAAAGGTCAAGTAGACAATTTTTTTTCATGTCAGGAATGACTTGAGAAACTGCAAGTCACTTCTGGTGTGAGAGAATTGGCTGTCTGCAAGGACGTCACCCAGGGACGCCTGGATGTTTTGATGTTTTACCATCCTTAGAATCATAGAATCAAAGAGTTGGAAGAGACCTCATGGGCCATCCAGTCCAACCCCCTGCCAAGATGCAGGAATATTGCATTCAAATCACCCCTGACAGATGGCCATCCAGCCTCTGTTTAAAAGCTTCCAAAGAAGGAGCCTCCACCACACTTCGGGGCAGAGAGTTCCACTGCTGAACGGCTCTCACAGTCAGGAAGTTCTTCCTAATGTTCAGATGGAATCTTGTGGGAGGCTTCTCTCATGTCTCCACATGGGGAGCTGCAGCTGACAGAGGGAGCTCATCCGCGCTCTCCCCGGATTCAAAACTCTGATTTGTCAGTCTTCAGTCCTGCTGGCACAAAGGTTTAATCCATCGCACCACTGGGTGCTCCTTATTCATGAGTCACCATAAAGTCAAAGGTGAAATAGACTTTTTTTTTCATGTCAGGAGTGGCTTGAGAAACTGCAAGTTGCTTCTGGTATGAGAGAACTGGCCGTCTGCAAGGATGTTGCCTAGGGGACACCTGGATGTTTTGATGTTTTACCATCCTTGTGGCAGGCTTTTCTCATGAAGCTGGAGCTGACAGAGGGAGCTCATCTGCACTCTTCCCAGATTAGAATCCCCGACTTGTCAGTCTTCAGTCCTGCCGGCACACCGGGGACTCTGCTATGGTAGTTAAAGTGATAGAATCATAGAATCATAGAGTTGGAAGAGACCTCATGGGCCATCCAGTCCAACCCCCTGCCAAGAAGCAGGAATATTGCATTCAAATCACCCCTGACAGATGGCCATCCAGCCTCTGTTTAAAAGCTTCCAAAGAAGGAGCCTCCACCACACTCCGGGGCAGAGAGTTGCACTGCTGAATGGCTCTCACAGTCAGGAAGTTCTTCCTCATGTTCAGATGGAATCTTGTGGGAGGCTTCTCTCATGTCCCCACATGGGGAGCTGCAGCTGACAGAGGGAGCTCATCTGCACTCTCCCTGGATTCAAAACTCTGACTTGTCAGTCTTCAGTCCTGCTGGCATAAAGGTTTAATCCATTGCACCACTGGGTGCTCCTTAATCATAAGTCACCATAAAGTCAAAGGTGAAATAGACTTTTTTTTCATGTCAGGAGCGACTTGAGAAACTGCAAGTTGTTTCTGGTGTGAGAGAACTGGCCGTCTGCAAGGATGTTGCCTAGGGGACACCTGGATGTTTGATGTTTTACCATCCTTGTGGCAGGCTTTTCTCATGAAGCTGGAGCTGACAGAGGGAGCTCATCTGCACTCTTCCCGGATTAGAATCCCCGAGTTGTCAGTCTTCCGTCCTGCCGGCACACCGGGGACTCTGCTATGGTAGTTAAAGTGATAGAATCATAGAATCATAGAGTTGGAAGAGACCTCATGGGCCATCCAGTCCAACCCCCTGCCAAGAAGCAGGAATATTGCATTCATAGAGTTGGAAGAGACCTCGTGAGCCATCCAGTGCAAACCCCCTGCCAAGAAGCAGGAATATTGCATTCAAATCACCCCTGACAGATGGCCATTCAGCCTCTATTTAAAAGCTTCCAAAGAAGAAGCCTCCATCACACTCCAGGGAGAGAGTTCCACTGCTGAATGGCTCTCACAGTCAGGAAGTTCTTCCTCATGTTCAGATGGAATCTCCTCTCTTGTAGTTTGATGCCAGACTGCATTAATTCTTCAGTGTAGATCAGGCATGGGCTAACTTCGGCCTTCCTTGGAATTGTTAGGAATTGTGGGAGTTGAAATCCACAACCCCTGGAGGGCTGAAGTTTGCCCATTCCTGGAGTAGATGCACCTCTGTTTGCAGAAGCTTTACCACCAGCTGAGAGAGTGTGACTCACCCCAAGGCCACTCAGTGAGGATGCAAAAACCTTGCCCTCAAATCCCTCCCCAGGCCCTGAGCATCTTATTGCACATCCTTTGGAAACCAAATCCTCTTTTCTGATAGGGAGGTGAGTTGGTTAGAAGCACACATTTCCCTGCAATCTGGAGATGGGGGAAAGGATCAGAGCTGAAAAGTCACGACATTCCCCCCTCCTCCCTCCTTCCCCCTTGGGTGGCGCTGCGGGGGAGTAACGAGTAACGAGAAGTAACGCCGTTACCTGGAGAGAGAGTCGATGCTGGGCTGGCGGGTGGTAGAAGGAGGCGCCGGCTTGGAGGCCAGGCTCTCGCAGCTGGAACTCTTCTCCATGGTGTTGAGAAAGAGAGAAGGAAGGAGAGAGAGAGAAAGGGAGGGAAAGAAAGGGAAGGAAGAGAGAGAAAGATAAAGGGAGAGAAAGAAAGAGAGGGGGCGGAGGGGAGGAGGAGAAATAGGTAGGTAGATAGAGAGATGAATGGGTGGATAGATAGATAGATCAGGCTGTTGCTGCTGCTGCTGCTGCTGTCAAGGGAGTGGAGAGGGCGCGGGCGCTGCCATGTTGAGCCCACAGTGCAGTGCGCATTGCAAGGCGGGGATGTGATGCTCGATGCTCAGCCTCCCTCCTCCGCTTCGGGAGGAGCCGCTTCGCGGGAGGCAGGAGCCAGGAGCACAAGCGGCCAAAGCCGGCTCCTTCCCTCCCTCCCTCCCCTTTCCAAGCTTTGGGGTACATTCAGCCCTCTCTATCCACTGGGCTTGGCTCCCAAGACCCCCTTCCCTGGGACGCCCACATCCCTGGATGCTCAAGTCCTTGGAGAGCCTGTTAAACATGGCTAGCCTGTCACCTTCCAACCTCCAAGTCATGGAATCCTAGAGTTGGAAGAGACCTCGGGGGCCATCTAGTCCAACCCCCTGCCCAGAAGCAGGAAAAATGCATTTTTGCGGCAGCAAATAAAAACTAACAGGATTTTGGCCTGCTTCAACAGGAGTCTAGTCAACCCCCCTGTTTAAGGGTCTCCATTGGCTGCTGTTCATTTTCCGGTCCCAATTCAGGGTGCAGGTTCTTACCTACAAAACCCTATACAGTTCCAACCGAGCGTATCTGTCCAAACGCATCTCCTCCTACATCCCGCCTCGGAGTTTAAGATCTTTTGGGGAGGCCTTGCTCTCGGCCCCACCTCTATCACAAGTGAGGTTGGTGGGGACGAGGAGCAGGGCCTTCTCGGTGGTGCTCCCTCGCCTGTGGAATTCACTCCCCGGGGAAATTAGGTCATCGACATCCCTCCTCTCTTTTAGAAGGAAATTAAAAACATAGATTTGGGACCAGGCTTTCGGGTAATCTGGCAGATAGACAAAGGACAAGCGACGACTAGAATTGATGGATTTAACAATGTGGAATTGAATTTACGGACTCTGAGCTGGCAAACGTTGAGCATTAGATTGGTTTTAGGGATTGTGATGTATAATGGATTGTTTTAATTACTGTTTATATATGTTTTATTTTTATCTTGTTGTTGTGCTGGCATTGAATTGTGCCTTTTGCAAGCCGCCCTGAGTCCCCCCTCGGGGGCTGAGAAGGGCGGGGTAGAAGTGCGAGAAATAAATAATAAATAAATTTGGGACCCACCTACCTGCGTGACCGCATTTCTGTGTAGGAACCCAAGCGATCTCTTTGATCATCTGGAGAGGCCCTGCTCTCGCTCCCGCCTCCTTCGGAGGCACAATTGGTGGGGACGAGGGAGAGGGCCTTCTCGGTGGTGGCCCCTGACTCTGTAACTTACTCTCCAAGGATATCAGGCAAGCCCCCACATTGGCAGTCTTTAGGAGGAGCCTGAAAACGAGGCTGTTCCAGTGTGCCTTCCCTGAATTAAGGAAACAATGCCCTGCTCTGACCAATTCCCTGGAAAATGTCCTCAGAAGCACTTTAACTACCCATTGGGTTTGTCTCCCTACATTATCTTTTAAAACCCTCCTGCTTAGATACATCCTACCTCTGTTCACATCCAGTGTTTATTTTTTTTAAAAAATAATTTATTACACCTGGCCCAGCCATAATAATAATAATAATAATAATAATAATAATAATAATAATAATAATAATAATATCAAACAGTAAACATTAACAATAAACACGACACAAGTCAGGGCCAAATGTAATGGTTAAAATTTTTAAAAAGCTGGGCATGACTGGGTAAAATGGATAGGTATTTTGGCGAATAGGTAGGGCATGCAGACAGACCTAAATCTCTAGTAAAGAAGCAGGAAAATTGCATTCAAAGCACCCCTGACAGATGGCCATTCAGCCTCTGTTTAAAAGCTTCCAAAGATGGAGCCTCCACCACACTCCGGGGCAGAGAGTTCCACTGCTGAACAGCTCTCGCAGTCAGGAAGTTTATTTATTTATTTACTATATTTGTATACTGGTCTTCTCAGCCCTTGGGCGACTCAGAGCGGTTAACAATAGCAAAATTCAATGCTCAAAAACGTCATAAAACTGTTAAAAACAATTAAAACAGTAGCATACAATCAATATAAATCAATAAAACATCTCATTCGCATCTCATAGTTAAGATCAAAATCCAGTCTCATCATCCCATTGTTCCATATTGCTATGTTTGTTACGCTGCCTATTCAAATGCCTGCTCGAACAACCAGGTCTTCACTTTCCTCCGAAATGTCACCAGGGAGGGGGCCAGTCTAATATCTGTAGGAAGGGCATTCCACAGCTGAGGAGCCACCACTGAGAAGGCCCTGTCTCTCATCCCCACCAAATGTACTTGTGATGCAGGCGGGACTGAGAGCAGGTCCTCCCCAGATGATCTTATCACCCTAGCTGGTTCATAGGACGAGATGCGTTCAGACAGGTAAGTTGGGCCAGAACCATTTAGGGCTTTATAGGCTAAAGCCAGCACTTTGAATTGTGCCTGGTAGCAAATCAGCAGCCAGTGGAGCTGGCACAACAGAAGTTGTATGCTCCCTGAGCGCCGCTCCCATTAGTAGCCTGTCTGCTGACCATTGGACCATTTGAAGCTTCCGGACAGTCTTCAAAGGCAACCCCAAGTGGAGAGCATTGCAGTAGTCTATACAGGATGGAGCAGGGGGTGGTGACGGCCGACAGGGAGCTCTGGCGTGGACTGGTCCATGAGGTCACGAAGAGTCGGAAATGACTGAACGAATGAACAACAAAAACTCCATAACCACAGCGTGGTGTTCAGATGGAATCTCCTTTCTTGTAGTTTGAATCCATTGTTCCACGTCCTGAAGCAAGAGAAGGCTGAGAGGAGACGTGATAGCCATGTATAAATATGTGAGAGGAAGTCACAGGGAGGAGGGAGCAAGCTTGTACTCTGCTGCCCTGGAGACTAGGATGCGGAACAATATTTCTATGAGTCTATCGTGCTACAGCCTTCCAGGTGAGGCCTGACCAAAGTGGAATAGAGTGGGACTAGTACTTCTCTCATTTAGACACTCTCCTCTTATTGATGGAGCCAAGGGCTGTTCCAGCTACCTCATCACATAGTTGAGTCATGCTCAGCTTGAGACAGTAATTTCAACTAAATGTTAGAATAGAGTGGGGCTAGTAGACCTCTCATCTTGAGACTATCCTATTGATGAGGTCGAGGGCCGTTCCAGCTGACGCATCACATTGTTGAGTCGTGTTCATCTTGAGACAGTAATTTCAACTGAACATTAGATTGTGGAGTCTGTTTCCATGGACCTGCTGGAGATGTTCTAGCTACATTTCCTATATTGAGCAGTAGGTTGGACTCAATGGCCTAAGAAACCTCTTACAACTCCGTGATTCCGTCATTCATGATCTTTCTTTTTTAATCTTTTCACTATTTCTTTCATCTTTTTCTTATGGTGGAACATCTGCGTAAAAGGGAAAGTTAGAAAAGCTTGCACACTACGTTCTAATGAGTAGCATGAAATATCCAATGTACATTACAGGAAAATAAATTGTGTTGTTGAAAGCTTTCATGGCCGGAATCATTGGGTTGCTGTGAGTTTATCTAGCAGTATGTTACCAGTACAGTGGTCCCTCGCTACTTCACGGTTCGCTTTTCGCGGACTTGCTGTTTCATGGTTTTTCAATATGGACTTAAGAGCATTTGTCTGCATAGAGAGGCTGCCTCTGTAGATAAAGCCAGAACCAAGGATTACATGAACAACATGTTCAAGGAGGGTTGTGTAGTGTATAAGTATGTGGGGAGGGTTTATAAAGACTTAAAATAGTGTATAACTACTAAAATTATACTGTATAAAATAATGTATAAAGATTAAAAAATTTAATTGCAGTGGCGCAGTGGGTTAAATCCTTATGCCAGCAGGACTGAAGACTGACAGGTCGCAAGTTCAAATCCGGAGAGAGGCGGATGAGCTCCCTCTATCAGCTCCAGCTCCTCATGCAGGGACATGAGAGAAGCCTCCCACAAGGATGATAAAAACATCAAATCATCTGGGCATCCCCTGAACAACGTCCTCTCTCACATCAGAAGCGACTTGCAGTCTCTCAAGTTGCTCCTGACACGACAATTTTTTTAAATTAAAATTAATATAGCATCCCTACTTTGCGGATTTTCACTTTTTGCGGGTGGTCCTGGAACGTAACACCCGTGATAAGTGAGGGAGCACTGTATTAAAATCTGTTTAACAGTATTAAAAAACACCAGAATCAGGACAGTAAATAATGAACACCACTCAGAAACAAGAGAACTCCAGACAGCAAGCAAACAAGTGTCAACGAACACCTCCAAAATAGAGGATGCCTCCAGGCAACAAAGGTCAGGCTACCTCTATGCAGATACCCTCACTGATTGACTTTGCAGCTTCATGGCTACTCAGTGCTATTCAAGCTTGCTAACGGCAACATTCACACTTGCCTTAAACAGACAAGGCTTTTTTCTCCCACCTTGGATATTCCAACTATCTATCTATCTATCTATCTATCTATCTATCTATCTATCTATCTATCTATCTATCTATCTATCTATCTATGGATGGAATATCCAGGGTGGGAGAAAGAACCCTTGTTTGTTTGATGCAAGTGTGAATGTTGCAATTAGCAAGCTTCAATAGCTTGAATATATATACACACACACACACTCCACATGCCTCACCTCCAACAGACCTCTGAAGATGCCAGCCACAGATGCAGGCAAAATGTCAGAAGAGAATGCTACTAGAACATGGCTATATAGCCCAAAGAACTCACAGCAATCTAGGAAAAGACATTAAAATCTGTAAAAACAACTTTTAAGTTTTTCCCCATCTTTCCTTTTTTAAAAGGATTGGAAGTCACAGGAAATCACAAAAAAGTCACCAGGGGAAAAATATGGTCTGGACAGTCCCCAAAC